TGGAACGTTTTGTCTATAAATACTTGCATAGTTCATTTTTAATAGCATAGAGTGGTAAACGCAAACACTTGTGTGTGTTTGTAAAGACTTCTCTTAAGTATGTAAAAATAAATACCCATATAATGATGAATTTATTACAGACTTCCTAAGAAATAAAGAATATAAATAAAATTACACATCGCAATAGAGATTTTATAGAATACATACATTAAAGATGGTCGAACTAACTTTATTTGAACTAAGTAATTATTAATAAACGGCTAAAGGATGATTAACAACTACATGAGAATAATTCAATTAATTNNNNCATGAGAATAATTCAATTAATTTGAGCATTTCTTGTCGAAAGGTGATTTTAATTCCCGAAGCCTTCTTTCTTCTGAAAGTAATTTTGCAAACCTACAGAAATGAAATGTATTGTCAATATAAAAAACACAAAAATACTTGAATATATAATTATGTGTGTGTGTGTTTAATGATTTATGCATACTTCTTCAAAGCATCCTCATTTGTTCCACCCTTTACAATTGGCTCGAATAGACCTGAATCCAAATTAACCCTTGAAACTGCTTTCTTCAATAAACTTTTCCCAATTTCGACTAGTTTGTTCAAGTTCTCCTTCGTTGCACCATCGACGGAAGAAGTTGTTCCCGTCAAAGTGTCGTCCTTGCATCCAGTTAAATAAATTGTAAGTTCATATATTTCAAAATGTTCAAAAATATATAATTTTATAAATAAAGGGTAAAGTTTCTAATAGCTTAAGCTTTTTCATGAGCTTACTTGAATTCTAAGGTAGTTTTCTTCCGAATGTAGTGCTTGAAAAAGAGCAGAAATATGTAAATCCACCATGTCAGCGCTGGCTTGAGTGAAAACATCCACTATTGGATTGGAACCTCCATTGAGCAACCATCCTAAAAGACCCCATTTGGCTGCTTTTTTAGCATCATATTTATTTTCTACCTTGGACGAGCCAGTGCCCACTGAGATTACTAAAAATCGTCCATAATCAGTAGGCTTAATTGGGAAGAACTCCGGATTTCCATCAAAAATCTGTTTCGTAATTTGGCTCATGGCTACTAATGCCTG